TTTATAATACATTTTTTTTCTCTTTCTCTCTCTCTCTCTCTCTCTCTCACTCTCACAAAACGAAAAATATTTATGATATTTGAATTTCTATTTGAATATATATATATATATATATATATATATATATATATATATATATATATTATACTGAGCGTATTAAATCTGCAGAAAATTTTTTTTCTTCCATTCATTCCACACTTTCGCTAGTCATAATTATCCATAATATTATTTTACTTCGCTGATGATTTTATTATTGTTATTATTATTATTGTTGTTGTTACTGCGGTTGTAGTACGATGACGATGAGGAATGAAATGTATGATATTGAAGTTAGTGGTTAACTTTTTGTTTCCTATATGAGGCGTTATGATCTTTTGATGTTGCCGTTGTTATTATTATTATTATTATCCTTATTATTATTATTTTTATTACTGCTAATTATGGTTGAAAATTATGTTTAATAATAATAATAATAATAATAAACGTTCAGTTTTGTATTTTGTGCGTACGTTTGTGTTTCCTTCAAATCGTTATTCAATTCAATGGTTATTATCTATAGTAGCATGAGTATAAATGGTAGTAGTAGTAGTAGTAGCAGCAGCAGCAGTAGTAGTAGTAGTAGTAGTAGTAGTAGCAGTAGTTGTAGTAAACAGGAAAAAATATTTAACATTTATAAACGTGTCGCCGTTAATATTATGGTTATTGTTGGTATTATTATTATTACTATTATTATTATTATTATTTATTTGTTTTTTAAAACGGAAAGACGTCATGTTTTGCCTATTAAAAGACAATATTAGTCGGCTGAACTGAACAATAGGTGCACGAGATGATTCGTCATTCATTCATTAATTCATTCGTCCGTTCATTCGTCCGTTCATTCGTTCGTTCATTTATTTATTTATCATTCATTCGCTTTTTCATTCATTCATTCATTTATTCGATCCTTAATTCGTCAACTCTTATAATTTTTTCATTCAGTCTTTCAAATTTTTAGACGATTTTATTCATTCAATCGTTCGATCATTCATTCATTCATCCGTCCATCCATCCATCCATTCATCCATCCATTAATTAATTAATTAATTGAATAACTGATTGATTCAATCATTCATTCGTTCATTTATTCACTCACTCATTCATTCATTCATTCATTCATTCATTCATTCATTCATTCATGGTCGTCACTAACCATCGTCAGATCTCAATCTCACCACCGCCTGAGCACAGCACAGCACGATGAATGTTATCAAGAGGTCTGTAGAAGTAGTAGCTTCTATTATAATTACAAGGGTCGCAATGTAGCGACGTTCCTGTTGTAAGCCTGAGAGAGAGTGAAGAGAGAGAGGGAGAGCAATGGTGAGAAAAGTAAGTAATGTTGAAGTAAACAACAAGAAGCCAATAAAATAGAAGAGAAATGAAGTAAAGGTAAGAGTAAAAAAGAGATAAGTAAAAGAAAGAGAGATAGAAAAGGACCGATAGAGGGAAGAGTAAAAGAAAAACAAGATAGAGAGAGAGAGAGAGGACGAGAGAGAAAGAGCTTACGCAGGCAACAGTTGTAGTAGTGGGACGCCACAAACGAAATAATGACATTTATGTGTGCAATGACGACACTAATAAAGTAAATAACACAAATTCTTCTTATAATTATTATTATTAATCATTATGATTTTGATTATTATTGTTATTATGACAAAAACAATTATACGTACGTAATTATTAGATAACGAGGTGATCATTGTATGATTGTGACCTTAATTAATTTCTCCGAATAATTAGTATTAACCAAAATAAGAATGATAATAATAATTATAGTTATTATTATTATTGTTGTTGTTGTTGCTGCTGTTGTTGTTGCTGTCGTTGTGGTTACATGATATTTTTTTATTCCTCACATTGAAATTTATTATTATTTTTCAAAATACTTTATATTAACGCGCGCAAGTGTTTGTATGGAACAGTGGAACAGCCAGTGTTACAGTACTTAACTTTCAGCGCCGGGCTTATGAACATCCGCCGAGACTTGCCGACTCGAGTTTGTAGAGAACTCGTCGTTAACAGTCCAGCGGTTTCTCTGCCTAAGCACGCTAGTAAAATAAGAGTAGTAGAGAATTCTCATCGGAAAGATTGGCTCATCCTATAATGCTTACTTAATGTAAATTAACCCCATCCTGTACCTTAACTTATACTATCTTGTGTGTGTGTGTTTGTTTGTGTGTGTGTATTTGTGCGCGTGTTAGTATACGAACTCGTTGAATGAGTATTATTTTTGTATTGTTACCAGCATTTTTGTCGTTACTATCTTTTTCTTTATTAACTTTATTACCACAATAATGTGAAGTCGTAAAAATGGTTTTATAGTTCAAAAATCACAAGACACTTTATTACCCCAATAATGTGAAGTAGTAAAAATAGTTTTATAGTTTAAAAATCACAAGACATCATCATCATCAGAATCACATGAATAAAAATAAGAGAGAGAGATAGAGAGAGAGAGAGAGAGAGAGAGAGAGAGAGAGAGAGAAACAGAAATAGAGAGAGATTATAACGTCGTTAAGTAGTACTTAGTCAATTTTTAAAAAATTTCTTTTATCAAGTTCACTATAAATTTTTCAAATATTTTATTCGTTCTCTCGTTTGTACGTTCAATTATTCAACTGTTTGCTTCTTATTTTGCTCCATCATTCATTCATTTATTTATTTATTTCTTCATCCATCGTTTATTCCATCCACCTAGCCATTAATGCATCCTTCTATCAATCTATATACCTTTCTTCTTTTATCTCTACATTCTTTCTTACATTCTTTCATAGAAGAATGAATTCATGCTTTAGTTTTTACATCCATCCATCTAATTATCAAATTTAGTTCATTCGTTCATTCAATCATTCGTTCATTCATTCTTTTCGATCAACAAACTGACACCCTTCTAAGAAATGAAATAAACAAGCACACCTAAAAAAACAGTAGCAGCAAATTGACGTCATCTGACGTCACGTCTATTTTTAGACATTACATAACTCTATTCAGGTTGCCCTATATAAGAGCGGTGATTAAGTCTTAATAACCAAACTTCCAAGTTAGAGTACAGTTGCGAAATGGTCTTTTTTAACGATAAAGTGCGATTTATTTTAAAGATAATTCATAATTAACTGTATACAAAATTATTTGTTGCATTATTTTAGTTATATAACGTATAAAATTCGATATTTTATTGAAAAAACGGAACTTTAATTCTAATCTAACTACTCTTTAGTATATGATTCTAATTAGCTAAGTTCTTTTAATGTTTTAATCGTTTTCCCTTTTAATTCAAGTTAAACAAAATTGCTTAAGAAATCGTTTAATAATTGCCTAATTTATTACATAAAAGAATTTTCTACAAACTATTAAAATATTTAATTAGTTTGGTAGAAATTCTAAGAACATTTGTCTCGTAATAATAGGAAATAGTGAATAATACTACGCTGTTCTACGCTGTTCATAATCAGTGCTGTGATCATTTTATTATAATTAGTGATCAGTGATCAGTCACGTATTCATTAGATAAGTACTCCAGAATCCATTCATAACTGTTTTTCATCGGCCAGCTGTTTGCCTGATTGTGTGATTAGTGAATAATAAGCAGTAATATTAATTATTACTTTGGTCATATTCATTCATTCTTGCTTTGAAGTTATTGGGGCCAATGTACCAGAAAAGTCAGACGTCATTTTCTCAGAAATTCGCTCAGAATGTGAGTTTCAATTTTCTATTTCGATAATTTTGAACTTTGATTCTGGTAATTTTGATAGTTTTCTTTTGAAATATTGAAATTGTTTTTTTTTTTAGAAAAATTAATTTGTTAATTCTAAATTTAAATTTTTTTACTTTTTACATTTAAAATTTAAATGAAATGATTGTCTATTATCAGTTTAAAAATTTTTTCAAATTTTACATTTGAAAAAATGTTGAAATTTTAGTGATCTCATTTTATTTAGAAATAGAAACATTATATTGCTTGGAAATACTAACATCTGAAATTGAAATAAAACATTTCATTAGTTTTCTGTTGTACATAGTACATAATTTGTTAAGCTTAAGAATAATTTATAAAGAACAAAGAATAGCTTAAAATTAAAAATTTTATATCAGAAATTGTATTTTTTTTTTTCAAAATAACCTTATCTCAATCATCTTTCTCTATTTTTTCTAAATTTTATCTAAAATTCTGTTTTCTTCTCAGATTTTGGAATTAAACATTGAAGGCCAGTGCTCAACAGCAACAGAATTCAATAACACCACATCACTGGAAGATTTTCATCTCCTAACCCCAACAACCCTGGCCTACTTTGATAATATGAACAATGATGACAAAGATGACAGCACCAAAAACTCTGCACTAACTACTAAACATGAATCATCATCCTCACTGCCTGCCGGAGAGTTCAGTGGAAGCTACAAGCAAGATTTCATCGAAGGGGCATATGCAAGCGACGATGACAGTGATGGATCCACAAGTGATGGCTACTCTGATTCCAGGGTTG